CCCTCCCCTCTCCCTGTCCCTCCTCCTGGCCCCTGAGCGGCATCAGTCTCTCCTTACTTCTGACATTACAGTGAGAGCCCATTGAATGGGCTGCAGGCACCAGACGCGGGGGCTCCGAGGGCCGATCCCCCCGCATTTCCTCCGACCCCACAGCCCCGCACTGGGAACACCAGGCCAGATGCGGCTGTGCCGCCGAGCATCCACACAGCCCTGCGGGCTGGCTGGCAGGGGCGCCTGGTTCGTCCGCATTAGACCCATCCTGTGATGCTTTGTGGACAGTGGCATAAAGTACCCCTGCTTGTGCGCTGAGGCAGCCCGGCTGTGGACGGAGGACCGAGGAGCCGGCTGGCTGGGAACGGGCCCAGGGGACATGCGGACGTGTCTCCACCTGCAGCTTTCTCCCACTTCCTGCGCAGACCTTGAGTAAGCGACTGCGTGAACTAATGAACCGTTACTACAAAGACTGAATGTTTCTGAGGGACTTGGAATAGTGCTTACCTTTAGGCCCACCCCCCCACAGCCGCACCCACAAAGGGTCTTGGCAGCAGGCAGGTCGTGCGGGAGCCCCCATGTCCCAGGGGCCCGCGCGCCGTGCCTGGAGCTCGGTCGGCTGTGTCTTCATTTTCCCGTCTTCTCCGCGGGATCATGGGAGACCCCCTTGACCTTGTCTTCGGAGTAGTGCTCGTGGCCAGTCCTGTGCTGGCGATTTCTTCCTGCTCCTCGGATGGTCGGCTAGCCTTGTACCGATTCTGCAACCTCACCCAGGTGCCCTGGGTGCCTGGCACCACGGAGATCCTCCTGCTAAGCTTCAACTACATCGAGACTGTCACTGCCTCCTCATTTCCCCTCCTGGAGCAGCTGGGGCTTCTGGAGCTCGGGACTCAGTATACCCCCTTGCGTATTGACAGAGAGGCCTTCCGAAACCTGCCCAATCTTAGAGTCTTGGACCTGGGCGGGAGCCACATGCATTTCCTGCATCTCGACGCTTTCCAGGGGCTGCCCCACCTGCTTGAACTTCGACTCTTCTTCTGTGCTCTCTCCGATGCCGTATTAAGAGACGGTTATTTCCGAAATCTGGAGTCTTTGACTCGCCTGGACCTGTCCAAAAATCAGATTCGTAGCCTTCACCTTCATCCTTCATTCCGGGAGTTGAATTCCTTGAAGTCTATCGATTTTTCCCTCAACCAGATACCCATCGTATGTGAACAGGAGCTCAAGCCCCTCCAAGGGAAGATGCTCTCCTTCTTAAGCCTCGCCACCAATGGCTTGTACAACAGGGTCCCCATGGACTGGGCCAAGTGTATGAACCCATTCAGAGACATGGTGCTGGAAACCCTGGATGTTTCTCACAACGGCTGGACCGCGGATGTCACGGGGAACTTCAGCAGGGCCATCAATGGGAGCCAGACCTCCTCTCTGGTTCTCGCCTACCACATCATGGGGGCTGGATTTGGCTTCCGTAACATCCGGGACCCTGACCGGAGCACATTTGCCGGCCTGGCCAGGAGCTCAGTGGTACGTCTGGATCTTTCACACGGCTTTATCTTCTCTCTGAACTTTAGGCTCTTTGAGTCTCTCAGGCACTTGAAGGTCCTGAACCTCGCCCACAACAAAATAAACAAGATTGCAGGGGAAGCGTTTTATGGACTCGACAGCCTGCAGGTTCTCAACATGTCACATAACCTTCTGGGCGAGCTTTATAATTCTGATTTCCGTGGACTGCCTGAGGTAGCCTATATTGACCTTCAAAACAACCACATTGGGATCATTCAGGACCAGACATTCAAATCCCTGAAAACATTACAGACCTTGGATCTCCGCGATAATGCCCTTAAAACCATTTCTTTCATCCCGAGCATCCCTACTATCTTCTTGGGCAGCAATAAACTGGTGACCTTGCCGAACGTAAGGCTTACGGCCAACTTCATCCACTTGTCAGAGAACAGGCTAGAAGATCTGGACAGTCTCTACTTCCTTCTCCGGGTCCCTCACCTCCAGATCCTCATTCTGAATCAAAACCGCCTTTCTTCTTGCAACCCCGCTCATGCCCCAGCGGGGAGCCTCAGCCTGGAGAAGCTTTTCCTTGGAGGAAATATGTTGCAGCTGGCCTGGGAAACCGGCTTCTGCTGGGATGTTTTTAAGGGGCTCTCCCGGCTCCAGGTCCTGTATCTAAATAACAACTACCTGAATTTCCTTCCGCCAGGAGTATTTAGCGACCTGACCGCACTGAGGGGTCTCAGCCTCAGCTCCAACAGGCTCACCGTTCTTTCTCCCGGCGACTTGCCTGCTAATTTGGAAGTCCTGGACGTGTCCAGAAACCAGCTCCTGTCCCCTGACCCCGATCTGTTTGCGGGCCTCAGTGTCGTGGACATAACGTACAACAAGTTCATCTGTGAGTGTGAACTCCGTCCCTTCATCAGCTGGCTCAACCAGACCAACGTCACTGTGCTTGGGTCTCATGCAGACGTCCTCTGCATGTACCCCGCCTCGCTTGCTGGGACCTCCCTCTCCTCTGTGTCCATGGAGGGTTGTGACGAAGAGGAAGTCTTAAAGTCCCTGAAGTTGTCCCTTTTCATTTTATCCAGTGTTACCGTGACTCTGTTCCTCACGGCTGTCCTCACGGTCGCCAAGTTCCGGGGGCTTTGTTTCCTCTGCTACAAGGCAGCCTGCAGACTGCTGTCCACGGACCACGCCAAGGGCAGCGGGTCTGACGTGTACAAATACGACGCGTATCTGTGCTTCAGCAACAAGGACTTTGAGTGGGTGCAAAACGCTTTGCTCAAGCACCTAGATGCTCAGTACAGCGACCAAAACAGATTCAACCTGTGCTTCGAGGAGAGAGACTTTGTCCCGGGGCAAGACCACATCGCCAACATCCAGGACGCCGTGTGGGGCAGCAGGAAGGTGGTCTGTCTCGTGAGCAGGCACTTCCTCCGAGACGGCTGGTGCCTCGAAGCCTTCAGTTACGCCCAGAGCCGCTGTGTGTCTGACCTCGACGGTGCCCTCATCCTGGTGGTCGTGGGGTCCCTGTCCCAGTACCAGCTGATGAAGCATCAGTCTCTCAGGGGATTCGTGCAGAAGCGGCAGTATTTGAGGTGGCCTGAAGACCTCCAAGATGTCGACTGGTTTCTTAATAAACTCTCTCAGCACCTTCTAAAGAAAGAAAAGGGAACGAAGAGAGAAGGCGACATTCAGCTGCAAACCATAGCGAGCGTCTCCTCATCCGCTAATCCCAAGCCACAGACAGCTCTGCATCTGTGCTAAGCTACCGTTTGGGGTCCTTTCTCATAGCTTGTCTTTCCTACTAGGAACACGACGGGCTGTTGGTTTTCGTACCAACACGATGCCCGGTCTCCCTGACCCCACCATGGAGGGGAGTACTGTTTTCTCCCGTTGTGCCGACCACAGGGCGTGCCCCGGTCGGGGGACGGGCACCGGGAGACCCTTCCCCAGCACTCAGGCCGTCCCTGCAGAACAACACTAAATGAGCACACGGACGAAGAGGCGGGTTTCCTTCCCCTTGTGGGAACAGTGCCGTTGCTGGGTATGGGTCACGCCTCATCTCCGGGTAGGGGTGATCCCGAGGAGGCCGGGACGAGAATCGCTAGATGTCTCGGGGCCATACCACACTTCCTGTTCTGACCCTCGAGGTCTCACCTCTGTGGGCCGAGAACGTTCTTTCTCAGCCTTATTTCCTCCAACTCATCAGCCGTTCGGCGGCTGCAGGAAGAGCAAGGCCCACATCCTGGTCCGAGTCCTGATTCTGCTCCCGCGGGCTGTGTGACCCAGAGTGCCTGATGTGCCCTCTCTGGGCCCGGTCTCGTCTGTGGGCATGCTCGTATCTACCAAGGATGTCAGGCTTCTCAAACCTTTCCTCGGTCGCCCTGTCAGCCACAGGGATGCACACTCGGGGGCACCTTTGCTGGCAGTCGAAACTTCCTTGAGATTGTATTTTTTTACCTCAAAAGAAATCTATATACACTTTGCATTCTGTCTTTTTCCATGTTGATTTTTTTTTATTTAAAAAAAATTTTTTTTAATGTTTTCATTTATTTTTGCGACAGAGAGAGACAGAGCATGAGCAGGGGAGGGGCAGAGAGAGAGGGAGACACAGAATCAGAAGCAGGCTCCAGGCTCTGAGCTGTCAGCACAGAGCCTGATGCGGGGCTCGAACCCACAGACTGTGAGATCATGACCTGAGCCGAAGTCGGACGCTTAACCGACTGAGCCACCCAGGTGCCCCATCCATGTTGATTTTAATACAGGAACGTTTTTCTG